AACAAACTACTGAACATATATATATATTTGTGTATGTGTGTGTATATAACTATACAATAATCTAAATAACCAAAGTGTTGTCTTAGGTGCCAGTTAAGCATATCTATACAATAGCTACCTAAGAGCAGCCTCCAAAAGACAACAACTCCATCATCCGTTTTACAACATCTTAAACCTGTATCTACTCTACTCTCATATCAAATATGATCATCATAGTCAAACTACTTGAAAACAAGTAAGGGTAAGCTAGAATTCAAATATTCAATATTAACAATAGAAAATATGAGTAATAATCATATAATTTCATATTCAACTAAATTCAGCATCACAACACAATCAGTATTACCAATATTGCATATAGACAACACAACTAAATCAATATAGCATATGTTCAACCATCAACTAATGTATTGTTACGCATTTCAACCATGGAAATCTCTTGCAACACAAGTGAGTAATCTAAGTGGCGTGACCTTATCGAACCAACAACCCACACACCAACTAGATCAACAGTCAAATGGGATATCAATCCCTACAACAAGGTTTCTTAGGTGTTGCCACTTAAATTAGGAAGTCTAGGATTCCTATCAAGGTATAACAATTTGAGTATGAGCTTACCACAACATTAGCTAGCTTAATTAAGTCTCCTATGAGATTAGTCCAACAACTACCCTCCTAATATTATGCTCCTCCGATACTCAATTAGGGACTAAGTCCCCGATGTTGTATTTTTACTCAAGTTGATCACTTATAATTAGTATAGCTCGACTTGACTTCTATACTGTGATCACTTGTAGCTGGTATGCCTCGACTAGGCCCATGATAGTGCATAATTAATAATAATTAAGTATATTATATTGGGCTTATGTGACATTTAGAAGTGTCTTAAATTGGTTGACATTTGTTTTGGTGGACTATTTTGGTTTCAATTTTAAATTTTAGTTAATTTTAGTCATTTCTATCCACTTTGACATATTGTCAAGCATAGGCCATATCTGAAGCTCCTGAACTTGGAATCAGATATTCTTAGTGTCCTTGGAAAGATAAGATGAAGCTCTTCAGTTTCTTTTTTGGGATTTTCACCTAGTTCAGACGTTTAAAGGTCCAAAAATGCACCTCAACATTACGCCTCTACAATTCATTTTTGGTTTACTTTAGAAACTTATTGTACTAGTAGTATAACATTGATAATTAGTTGGTTAGTGGGTTAAGACTTGTAAATATTTTGATTAGGCCCACTATATTATTTTATTAATAGGTATTGAGACTTCGTATGTACACTTTCACTCATTTTTTAGATTATAAAGTTGTTTCTTGTACAAGGTTTTCAAAGAAAAGTTTCTCTCTCTAAATTTTATCTCTACATTTTCTACAAGATTTAACTGTAGCAACTCGATGGAGAAGCAAGGCTAATTTGTTCAATCAATTTGTAATTCCATGAAATGTGATAAAATTTGAGTTTCCGATCTAATTTTATCGTACAAATTATCTTCATCTTTTTCTCTGTTCCAGATATAATTTTTTTTCATGATTATGAATTTTGTTTAATTATATCCATAACAAAATTGAAATTAATTTTAGATATAGATCTAAATTTAAATCTAGACCTAAAATAACATAAATCGCCTAAATTAGTCATTTACCATTCTTGTATTTCACAGGAATATTGAGCTTGCAATTGCGTTTCACATTTTTATGAAATTCATACATTTTAATTACATTTATGGTGATTTAGGTTGATTGAGTTCAAATTATATTTTGAACTGTGAAAATTTTATCATAAGGATTAAAACCTTAAATCAATACAATCTATGATTAAAATTTATGTTTAAGTCTTCGATTACATTCTTACTTGTTCAATTACTATATATTTAGAATTCATAAAATCCTCATTCTAACCTTGCATGATAATTTGGGATCATATATATATATATATATATATATATATATATATATATATTATGTATGAATGTTATACATGCATCACTCCTGTATAAGACAAAATAAAACTATATATGTATATGTGTGTGTGTATATATATATATATATATATATATATTATGTCTTTGAGAAGAATTGCCTAGATTGTTTCTTATATTACAAATCTTAGGAAAAATCTAGTAATTTTTTTATAGTGATTCAGCAACACTATCAGTTAACATATTGTATCAACTAATGTCCTAAAGGAGACTCAACTATCTTCTTCAAGGGTCAACTTCCTAAGAAGGGTTTTCCAACAAACTAGGCTTTCAAAGCACCACAATACAATATCCTCACAATGAGATATGCAACTTTTAAAACAACCTCTTCTTTAGTCCTGAGTTGATTAACACAACTTTCAAAACCATGCCTTAAGCACTATCAATGTCATCATCTCAACAACATGCAACATTATGCGTCATTTATATTCAACACAACAACTCAACTCAACTTTCAACTAGTCATTATTTATAAACATCATCCTAGATTAATGTATATAGCATGAACAACAACTATCGACATAAAACATTCAATAGATTAACTACCTTACTCAGGTTCACCATTTATGAAGTTAAACAAGTTTTTATCAAACAACTAGCGCCTGATGCCACAGAACCAGTGTCCAACACCAATGAGACAAGGGATCCTTTGCCTCGTCCAACACCAACAAACAATACAAGATTTCTTTCCTACTCAACACAAGTAACTCATTTCCAACACAATTAACAACATGCAACAACTAACATGCTAGAATCACCCAAATCCCTTCAACATGCATCACCCATTCAAGCTTTTCCAACCATAATAATTTCAATCCAATGCATTAACTCGACCATAATTTAATGAGCAAATCAACAATATGCAACCTCAAGAATCATCAAATAATTGTTCTAACTTCCTTTATCTCAAAATTGAAATGAATCAAGGAAGAGAAGAAGAAGACTCCAAATAGCCACACCATGTGATATATCTCCTGATAATTGATTGCTGTTTTCACTTCAGGCAACAACTCATGACAGATATCAATGCATATCAATCATCTAATGCGTCGTTACGCATTCACCTAGGAGATCTCCCTAATAACAGAGTAGTATAAGTGACATCCCATCCTACCGAAACCACCCCAACCGTTTTCACGCCCAATGCGCCCGCTCAGTCATAGCTAACCAGGATATAAATACCCACTTGGTTTTACTCGGATGATGTCACTTACACACTTGGAAGTCCGGTTCCACCGTCAGGTATAATACAACTAGGTACAGGCTTACCACGACCTTGGCATGCATTACCAAGTCACTTGTGGAGTTCGCTCACCGACTATCCGCAAGGAACCACGCACCTTACCCAGTACTTGATTAAGGGAATAACCCTCAACCTCATACCCCGCTCCAACACTAGCTAAGGACTTAGAGGAGACTCACTCAAACCAATGGCCTATCCAAGCCCCACTCCTACCCAAAAGCCAGTGGCCTATCTAAGCACCACTCTCATTTGTATCAGTGGCCTATCCAAGCACCACTCTCAAGAAACTCTATATGAGCTCTTCTAGTTCAAAAACATTTTCCCTCTCCTCAAGCCCTAGGCTAGACACATGCCATAAGGCATCACATGCAACAATGTATCATACATCATACATGGTCAATCCACCATCATGATCAATATCATCCTCATATGAACATACACACATGTCATATCATATTTAAACATTCATATATATCATTACTAAGTATACATATGAATCATACATCACCATACATCATATATCATACATACATACTTCACTCTTAAACATGCGAAAGCATCAATTTCAGTCAACATCACTAAGCATACTTACGCCTGGTGCAGTAAGCTCGCGTCCGACCTAAATCTAACCCGAGAGCTCTAAGACTCATCCACGCCCGGCGAAGTCAACTCGCACTCGGCCTAAACCCAACCTGAGAGCTCTAAAGCTCATCCACGCTCGACGTCTTTTAAATAAAGACTCTTAGGAGTCTCCACGCCCAGCGCACCCACCTTGCGCTCGACGCCATATCAGTAAAATACCACACCAAACCACTATT